TATTTTTACTTTTTTTTTTTTGAGACAGGGTCTCACTATGCAGTTCAGGCTGGTCTTGAGCTCACTTTGTAGCCCAGGCTGGTCTCAAACTTGCAACAATCCTCCTGCCTCAGCCTCCCGAGTGCTGGGATTATAGGCATGCAATTCTTTAAATCTATACTTTAAAAAGAAAAAATTCTTGGCTGGTGTTCTCCCTAGTTACTTTACTATTTTCTTGCCTTACTTTTTCTTCAGATTTGTCTGCTGCACTAAGTCTAAATTCCCGTTCTCCCTATAGATCTAGCTGTTAACTACTTGTAATCTCAGCACTCTGGGAGACTGAGCCAGTAGGACTGCAAGTTCAAGCCCAACCTGGGCAATTTAGTGAGACTTCTTGAAATAAAAAAAGGCTGGAAAGGCCCTGGATTCAATCTCCAGTGCAGCCCACCCCCCAAAAAAATTAGCATTAATTTTAAAACTCTTAACCCAAGCTAATCTCACAGATACCATTTTTCCCCATGAAGCCTTGTGCTTCATTCTTAGTACTGATCATCCTAAAATCAATACTTGGTTTGGAAAAACAACACAGTCTCATTCTTACCCTGATTTCCTTGAGTGCTTATTAACAACTCGGTCATTTCTTCACCACTGTGGCCTTATTGCCTGAACAGTGCTTAACCAAAATAATGTACATTTTTAAAAATATTCTTCCACTGTGCTCTTAGTTGTTTTGGGGGGTGGGGGGTTGAGACAGGGCTCACTATGCAATTTAGGCTGGCCCTGAACTCACTGTGTAGCCTGGCCTGGCCTTGAACTTCAGCCATCTTCCCACTTTTATCTCCCCAGTGCTGGTATTACAGACCTACCACCATGCCTGGCTTGTCCTCTTAGTCTTAATTCTCTAATTTATCTTCAAGGAATCAATCCTTTAATTCTGATAACCACATCCATTCTCAGATCTTAAGCTATGCTAGATGTAGATAAACTAATATCAGCATATTCAGCACATTTCTCCTCCACTGTAGTCCCTCAGAAGTTTCTGTTCTCATGTATTTTGTGACAGTATGTCAGAAATGAAAATTACTTTCTCAACTCTTAAATTCTTTCTGTTTCTAAATTATGTTGTTACTACCATAATTTTAGTCTAAACTTGTCATCATTCTTGTGGATTTATTTACAGTTATATTTATTAGCCTATGAAATATTTTGCCATTCTGATATATTCTCATTCCCCACTAATATCCAACAAATGAAAACTCTTATTTCTTTCTTTTTATTAGTACACATTTGCAGTATATAATGATTACTATTTTGTGGAGTGTTGGTACATGTACATAATACATTGTCTTTTTCTCTCCCTTTTTTTTATTCCCTACCCTTGTCCTCCCTCCCTGCTCCTTCCAACACTTGCAAAAGCTCTATTTTCTTCATTTTTCCCCCTTCGTTTCTTTTTTTTCAATTCCCTTTTCTTTCCTTCTTTATATCCTCCCTCCAGCTCTTATTCCCCTAGCCATTTAAAAAAGATCTTCCTGCTTCCGATTT